GGACGTAGAGGCAGTATGAATCCCTCTGTTCTCCGTGGTACAGTCTGCTTCGCCGCGGATGATGGGGCGTGTCGCGCAGCTGCGTTTGGCGCACCGCCAACGCCCATTCTTCACTAGCTTTTGAAGCAGTCAAGTGATAACTTCTGGTGGAAAACGACTGGTACGAACGATGTGACGCGGATAACCGAGAAAAAAACGTTCGCGTCGTGCCAGCGCTTACACGCCCCATCATCCGCAACGAACAAATTATCTGATTTTAGCACCTAATCCTTCACAACTACCAGATAATAGGTTTGGCTCGACTTTGAGAATTTTCCTCTTCATTTCGGAGGCCTCAGTCGAACCTTTACAGCTCTCGTTCCATTCCATGACGCCTGCAAATCTTCTTGTACACCTCTAGACTCCTCTGTTGGAACATATAGATGTTTCTTGCAGAACTGCTCATGAAGTTGTTGACAAGAATAAATAGAGAATTTTAAGTGTAGATTCCAGCCCCTCTGTCTTAAAACCTCGGTACTGTGGATATTTTCTTGCTTATATATTTCTACCGCTTGTTAGGTGTGAAGATTCATTCAGCCGACGTTCTACCTCTTCATGGTTTTCGAAGGCCTTGCGCTCCATAGAGTGTAGTTCTGTCCTACATTAGTACAGCAGTAAGTAAGTATGCGAATCTCTTATTTACACCCCTAGGCCCTGAACAGGCGAATATCTCTAATTGGCAGCCATGTTTTTACTTTATAAGAATGCGTAGGCTCATCGAGAGACGGCGTGGTGACTGCATATATGGGAAATCTGTGCGCTGTGCGCTTTTCTCGACTTCCAGCCTGAATATTTATCGTTCGAGCACGAATATTTAATGAAGAGATATACAAAATCACCAACTATAAGGTGACCAATTCCCTTCCATGAGTACGACTGGGTGTCAGCAGTGCACATTAAAGGCACGTCCCGAGTTCAAAAATGGTGATTTGTGCAACTCAAACACTAGTGAGAGTACAAAAGTTGAGAAAGAAGCACTAAAAAGGCGCTAGAAATAACCCATTTAAACCCTATGCTTAATCGCGGTTGTACGTGCATAAGGCGAAGAAAGGGCGCGGTTGGACGAGCTGTCGATAATAGTGGACCAACCGCATCCTCAGGCATGTTAATGGAAAGTTGGGCGTCGACATGGCCGGTGGTCGGGCGGACCGTGGTTCCCTCGCGAGCCAGTGGCGCTTTCGTCACGTTTTTGAGCTGCAAAGGTAGTGCATCCCCCACTCTCCCAGGCAGGATTACCACTCCAAAAAAGGCGCCCGAGGATGGCCCGTAAAGTAGGGTGCACATTGCAGCTTCTTTTTTTTCTGGACAGTCAAATGTGCAGCCATTGTAGTTAAAGTTTAAATATGGAAATCTTCCATCCATGTACGTTGGAATGTACGTTGGAGATGAGTTCGCTGGAGCGACATGAAAATCAGAGATTAACAGAAAAGCGTTGGTGTAGTGACAAACGACGCCAGTTGCCACAAGCACGGCTAGGAGGCCTAGTCTCGGACATCTGTGGCACTGGCGTCATCGTGCGGTCCAAATCGCCAGGCAAAATGCTGCTACGATTTTGAATAGAAGTGGAATGCGTGGTGTTTTCTTAAGGGGATTGATCAAGAGAGACGGGAAAAACTGAAGAACTGCGAAAAGTCAGCAGCTGCTGGGGAAAATTTCCCCATCACGGCAAATTTTCCTCAAAAGTAACTACCCCCCCCCCTCTCCCAACAACGAGCGAATGCGACCCTTCAACTTAGAGTTCCCTCAATCATCATCCCGATGTGAATAGCGCCCGTGAAACAAGAAAAATCACCTATCGAAACTTTTCTCGGACCAGTAAGACCCCCTTCGCTAGCGACCGAATACGACCCCCCTCCCCCAGCGAACCAAATACGACCCCCTCATCGAGCGACCAAATACGAGAACCCGCTGGGGAATTTCTAACGTGCGAGGTGTCCTGCTGACAACATTCTAGCGTAAACGTTGATATTGAATAGCAGTTCTTATCCTGTTTACCGATGCACAGGATGCACTAAATGTTTTGTTTCTTGTTCTGCTGGAAAGAGGGTAGTGGTGGGGCGGGAGGAAGTGAGACGAAGACGAAGGGAATGTTGTTTGATAGCTGCTGCATTTCTACCTCTATCTTATCACCTCTAGCTTGTTCGAACTTGGGGTCAACGGGGTGTAGTTATCAATTAGATGTATTCGCAAAGGAACATTTCTTAATGCTTCTCATTCAATCTTTTCAGTTCAGAGACGCTAGTCTTCTTTGTTCAGTTCCAATAAGCACCCATTATAGTGTTTCGTTTCCACCGCTTATCTCCCGTCTTCTAATTCACATCGCTCCATCGACTGTTTTGGCATGTGCCGGCTGTCTCTGCTCTCACGCAAACAACACATGATCTTTCCTAATCTCCACCTCGCCCCTCATTTCTTCTCCCAGGCGGTCTTTTAAGCAGCTCATGTAACACCTTCTGAATGTTTTTTTAAGTTTTGATCACTCAAATTTCTCCAATGATTTCTATCGATCCTAAAGATCCTAAACAGTGATAGCACTGCTTCGAATTCTAATTACAACCAGGGTTAATTTGTGATTTTCCAGGGCACAGCAAGCAGAGGCGCAATTACGAGAAGAACTCAATGAACTACGTGCCATGCTAGAATCACGTAACAGTGAATTCCACCTTATCGAGATACGTAAGCAAGAGCTTGAAGAGGAGCTAGCCACTGCTCGTGAATTGTCTGCAATGCACGATCGTCTCAGAGCGGAACTGGAGGTGAATCAACTGAGTTTCTTACTTTTCACTGCACTGTTGCTTTGTGAAGGTTCCGTAAGTTGGTCTTCATAGGATACTCGCAAACAACGCGATGAAATTGAGACCTTGGTGACTTCGCTGACGGAGCGTGCCGAAAGAGCCGAAAAGGCCTTAGAAGGTTAACTCTGCCCTGTTGTCTTGTGAAACTGCTATACTTCTTTCAATGGCTTCTTCAGAAGACCGCGCCCTTCTGAAGGAAGAACGCTCCAGTCTTGAAAAATCCGTGGAAGAGCGAAAGGAAAAGGAACTTTTAGTTTCTCTTTCTTCTGAGAGCGAGATGGAGAGAAGGGTGAGTCTCCAGCTTCGCAGGGACTTCCTGCGAGAAATTCATCCTCAGTTTTTAGGTCATCGCGCACGACAACATGGCATCGCTGTCGCAGTTGAGTGCACAAACAGCCGGGGAGATCTGCACGAGTGATGAGATTCAGCAGCTTCGCTCTGAAATTGCTTACCTGAATGAAATGAATACCGAGCTGACAGCAAAAATCAATCACTTGGAGACGGAAAATTACGCTGTTAAGATGACGAGAGATGAGGCTCAGCGGTTGCTCGGTGAACTGAAAATCGCTGGTGAAACAATGCAAGGAAGGATAGATGTATTAGATAGACTGGGAGGATCTGGAGATGAAGCGCATGACGTGCATATGGGTGCAGGGGATGTTCAGCTGGAAAACATTCGTCTCAACGAGGAACTAAAGAGGAACATGGAAGAGATTGAGGTGGCTCGAAATCATCGTGCTGCATTAGAAAAGGAACTTCTTGAGCTGAAATCTCTGGTGAGTGGAATGAGTTTGTTTGTTTCTCTTTCCCATCACTAAATTACTTCTTTAAAGCGTCAAAATTTCGTGTTTTCATGAGCAGCTGTGCATCCATCAGCGCAAAACCTGCTAGGCCACGTTCATAATTCGCGGTACGAGCGACATAGTCGCGCGAACGACTGGCCGCGTTGCATCACTAACCGTTGGACAGCTTTGGAGTTCAATTTGTTTTGACTGTGACTAAATTAGATGCAGCGATCCGACGATTAGCGATAAAACGCGGTCACCGTCGCTTAATTCTTAAATCGCGCTGAAAGGGTCGAGTCGTGAAGTATAAGTGCAAATGCAGCAGAGAAAGCTAGTAAGGAGCTCCTTAGGACTAAGCACTTTTTTGAAACGATTCCCTGCATGCCAGGTGTGTGGGTGTGCCGTGCGTGCGCGCGTGTGTGTGGGCGGGGTGGGAAAAGCATTGACTTTGATTTTTACCGCAACATTCCTGGTTGCCCTCCTTAGAAAGGCATTAACTTTGATTTTTACCTCAAAATTCCTGTAGGCCTCCTTAGAAAGGAGACTCTGCTCGAACAACCACAATAGAGAGCGGCGAAACAGCACTTTGTGAATTCGGGGAAGGATTTCCTAAAAAGAATTGAACCCTTAGTGCGGGAGCCACTTGACAAGGAGGAGGTCATAGTGTTCATGAGACGCGGAGTTCGTAATGTTATGACCTAGTATCAGTTTTACCCGGCTTGTGGCGCTGTTACCACATGTACCTGCGGTTCAAATGTTCTTGCCATTGTTCTGCTTTTCACTAGTCAACCGGAGACAGAGTTTTTTGTTCTGTGCGTCTTTCCAAATCTCTATTCACTCCTGCTTTTATGTTTTTTGGTTGTCTTATGTTAATACTTCTCTATCTGCTTACCTGTTTTGCGAGGATCTTGGAACTTTTTTCCTTGCAGAAATGTCTGTATTACCCATTTCAGCTTGCTGTACGACAGTCGAAGTCTGATGGAGCAGAGGTGTTCATTCCTGCAGCGGACGAAAACTCAACTGAAACCCGTGGAGATGACGAGGTGAACATGTCTATCGTGGTTGATTTTTTTCTTATTAGTGTTCATGACAATATCATTTCATATCAGCGCGTCAAAGCTCTAAAGCATTTCGTTTTCACTTGTTCTCTTTTATTTTTGCGGTTTTATCTTCAATTCTCACCTTACATTAATTCATTTCTGGTAGGAAATTTTCCACCGTTTCTCACTCGCTCATTCATTTTAATTTTTCGCTGTCCTGTTTCAACCTATGTTACTTACTTTATCGTGTCTGTTTTGAAAAATCGCTCAAGCACACTTTTACGTTTCTCTATAGCTCTCCGTATTCAGCACTGCAGCAGTTGCATCACATCATCCTGCTACACCTTCCTCCCATTTCGTTCTGCTCTTCCATTTAAAAGTTAGGTATCATAATGACATTATGCGCAACAGCCTTATACTCTTCAAGGTAGTAGGCCACGGGAAAAGTCTGAAAGTCAACATCCGAAATTTTGAACATCCGAAATTTGTGGGCTTTCTCTGCCATGTACTTTCAACTGAAGTGATAGTCGAAATTCGAATGGCGTTAAAGTCACTCCTTACATCGGTTCTCGCGAACTGACAGATGGAGAGCCTGTCTTGTTTGAGCGAAGGCCGCCTATACCTGTTCGCTGTTACGCAATTTCGGCATTTTGGATGTACTTTTTAAATTTTTTTTCTGACAAGACAATTCTTACAAGTAAAGCTAGCCTAGTACATCTGACTACTTTGTACTGAATTCACTCTTCTGAGCGTGTAGTTTCCTGGATCCAGTTATTGCTTCTCAGTAATCTTCCTCAGTAATCTGTTTTTTCCTTCAACACTCGTCATTTTGAGATTTATTGCCATTCCCTATCTCTTCTTACCTCTATCCATTTCTCGCGACGCTGTCTTATGTTGCTTCTCCAAATATTTTTCCCAGCATATTCTCGGTAGAAGAGGAGGGTCGCCCCTTCCCCTTCGCCCCCTGTTTGCTGCATATTCTGCACACACCGGGAACTTTGCATTTGTACAGGATACTCAGTACAATGGTAGTAAATAGTCACATTCGTCATGTTTCCATCACACTGTCTCTATAGGCGCCCTCTTTTTCCTCTAATATTTTGGGGTCATTGTTTATATGCAGGCTGATTAATAGGCCGTATTGGCAATCATGCGGCATTTGGGTAATTCATAAAAATTGGGGTGCTTTATGAACATTATCATCTATTTTCAGTCGCAAGCGGACGAATCTCAGTCCCGGATTTCTCTTTTGGAAGAACAGCTTAATGTCCAGCTGAAAGAGGTCGATCGCTTAACTGAACTTGCATCCAGTGAACGCCGTCGTGCTGACGAGTAAGTTCTACCGCCGAAACTCATTTTGCTGTCGTTTGATTCGTCGCATAGAAGCTTGGTTTCAGAGCTCTAGAAGATATCAAGGACAAGCTGGCTCAGCAGGAATCCCTAATGGATGAAATAAAGCAAAAAGATGTTGTGATCGCTAGAATGGAAGAAGAAGTGAAGCGAGTGCAGGCTGAGGAGGTAGATCTTATGAGTTACTATCGCGAGTATGCTGTTTCAGCATCTGTTAGACAGCGTTCAGACTTCGCGATGAATCGTGTCGATGCGCTGTAATGTGCTGTGACGCGCGTCGCTGCGTTACAATTACAACATCGCTCCAAAGCTGCAGACGCGAACGCAGCCGCGACGGCCAGTGCTGATAAATACCAGTCTGCGTGACTACCTTCCAGCGCGTTCATACTTAGCCGTCGCGCGATTGGATCACTCGACGACTGCGCGATTGCGATCGGGGCCGCTCCACTGCCAATCGGTGAAACGCCGTAACAACGGAATTCCGTTGGGCTGCATTCATGGCCTGCTCTTTTTTTGCTTGTATCTTTCTGGGCACGCTTGCGTTTTCTGAAACGTTCTGGAAAAAGTGTTACAGCTTAAAGTGTTGTGTTTTGCAATATTTCTCTTCTCGTCATATTCTTTTGTTATCAACAACGGTGCACCGACTGGCGGAGGAGCGCCCCCGGTCGCAATCGATCGCGCGATCGCGAAGTATGAACGTTGCCTTGTACATCAAAACACGTTCTAGCTAGGACCCTGCCATGGCTCACGGAAATGGATATTAGGAAGGCGTACATTCTCGTAATAGGTCAGCGGTATAAATCAGTGGTATTATGTCATTAAAAAGAAGGATTTATGTAATGCACTAAAATGGAGACTAGCCATAAACATGAAATAATTGCGTAAGTTTACTTCGAAATGATGTCAGTAATAAGGTCATATACAAGACA